AAGCATTGGAAGACAAGAATGCGGCCAGAGGGTGAGATTGATTAATCGGGGGAGGGGGTCCTACTATTGGAGGGGGGGTAGGGCCTGTGTGAGGTACCCTTTCTGAGCTTGAACATGTTAAGATTTTGATAGAGTTTTAAACATGTGAAAATGCAAGAGTTTTGCTAGAGAGTTCTTGGGGTTTGGGGGATGGTTGGTAGCATGAGCCCTTAGGAGAAGCCATCAAAAGGATTTGTGAGCAGGATGAGGCAGTTGAGAGGTGGTGGTGAGAATCAGGAAGATGAGGAGATGAAGACACCAGCCTCTAAGAACATGAAGACTATGAGGAGTGGATCAGAAGATCAGTTTCACCATGGACCAGAAGATATTGAATAGTAGAAAAAATATAGTAACAACTATATACATATACTTAAACCCAATTAGTTTTTTCCTGGGGGAGCTGGGATTGATTAATAGGGGGAGTAAACACAATATTAGGGTGTGCCAAGGTGGAAATCCAGGTTTTAATTTAGTTTAGTTGGGGGGTCGAGCTGGGATTGATTAATAGGGGGTGGTTACTTAATCCTGTGTGCGCATTATATTCTTATTGTGTTGAAGGTTACGTGTCATTGTCCTCTGCACTCAGCTTGCTACGAGGCCGCACCACCTGCTGCAGGTGCGTCTCCAATTGCCTGAAACTTTGGACTCCAACACAAAAAACAGCACAGGAAAAACAGGTTTTGGACATTCGGAAAACATTGGATCTTTCTTGTTACTCGTTTTTGAATCAAAGGTTTGCGGGCCACCCCTGGACCCCATTGTCATCACTTGACCAACATCATACAAATGCATGACAGCATCTATATATGTCTCTGATTGTCTCTGACGTTGCCAGAATCAACCAGTTCTGAAGAAAAGTCTTCGTGGGTCATTGATGTGTTGCACCTCGACATCGTAGCCGCCAGTTCCAGAGATCGCCACACCGCTCCTGATTTTTCAGGACATACCAGAAACATGGCCACAACAGGAAAACAGGGCACATGACCTCTACAATAATTCCACCATCTTGACTCACAACCAACTACCATGTCAGGTGACATTTGAAGCGGATCCACATGATGCACATTCAAACAGAGTTGAGGCCATCTCGGTCCAATCTGGTCCAACAATTCCTCAGCGGCGGCCTGAGAAGAGCTTGTGCACACAAGGAAGCCCATTTGGATGCTCTCATGTTGGGATGCCGGCCACACCCTCAGCATCCTTGAGATTTCTGAAAAGGTAGAGAGCCTCGGAACTTAAACAGTGAGCAAATGTTGAGCTTCATCCAGCTGTTTTCACTTCAGGTCTTGCCTCTTCTGCAGACTTTTCTGCTAGGCCTGCAGTCCTCAATGAAAGCACATCGTCCACCTACACCCTTGTGGGAAAGTGCTCGCTGCTTGGCCAAGGGCCCAAGTTCCAAAAAGCCTCTTGCCGCTAGCATCAATGCCTTGGAGGTATAACATAACAAGAAAAGGTTGAGCTGATTCGGTCACAAAACGTTACTAGTGGGGACTGGACCATTGACAGCTGCTGACTGTCACCTGCATTCGGTTTCGTTGGCGAGACAATGGGTTTTTGTACTGAGTCATAAACACCATGTTGAGCTAAATTGACAGAAAAAACACATACAAAGAATAAGAACTAATGCAATATCACAAGCTCATTCCAAATTCACAAGAAACAAGAAGTCCCTTCTGGTCGCTTTCTCTGGTCCCAGTCATCGCCTCTTCGGCGGAAAATGTCACACGCACGCCCTGGGGTCGTGATGCCACCCCCCAAGAAAAGATTATTCTAAGACAGTTTTGTTCGTGTGTTGCCTCGTTGGGTTTTGTGTTGGCGTGATAAATGGAATATACAGCAAACCTCATACCAAAGCAAACTGCCAATTAAGGCAATACATCAATCAAAGTCAACTGATGTATCTAAATCTACACCTGATATAGACATAAATTTCAAACTATACGTTCAAGTCTTATTGAATTGAAAAGTCAATACAACTTTAGAAGGAATACAACCAGACGTGGCTTTGATATTGAAGAAACAGTAGATATTGATGAACTAGATGACATCGATGAAGCATTGGAATATCTTAGACGAAAAACCCTGCTATTGAAAATACTGATAGGGGGAGATGCTGATGATGTATTGATACACGACATCGTCATACACATTGAAAATTGTGTTAGTACTTGTAAGTTCAAATCATAGAAATATATAGGAATAATGATAAACTCAAAATATCTTAACATATGAAGTAATCACCAACCCAAGCCCAAACCATAAACACCTAGCGACCTCAACAATTAATTACCCTCCTCATCTCCAAAGAAACAATTAAAATAAAATTAGAGCAAAACATGTCTCAAAGTCCACACGAAATAGACCATCAGCGGCAATGAACACACAATAACCAGTGGGATGTCCCAGGTCGCAGCATCCCCCTTTTTTCATGTTTTCCACCAACACCCGTGACGTCTATTCCCAGAACTACGGTCTATTACCATATTAACATGATGTCACTCACAGCCGTGAGAGACAAGGAAACTTGGTCTGGAACTCGCTGCTGATACGGAGTCGCGAGTCTCGCCAAAGAGCGAGAGCACCTGGAGCAGTCCAAGGTGGCGGCGCAAGCGTCTTTAGTCGACGGCAAGGCAAGCAAGTGAAAGGAACGGGACAAGCAGTCAAAGAAGGACATGAATAATTAGATGTTAAGAGGGAAGTTCAAGTCAGCAAAGGGTCCCCCTAGACATGTGTTTTGCGACATCGTGAGTCATCAGGGAAGCCACCTCAGCTCTTGAGAGATTGGCAACAGCCTCGGCAGGAGCTAGTGAGCTAGTGAGTCCGTTTTCTCTAGTTGCTGCTTGTCCCTTCTTGTCGTTCCTTTTTCAACGCCTTATCATGCCTTATCTCCCACCTGCCAGATGAGGGTTGTTGGATTTTATCAGGGCTCCTCTCCTTCGCCACCTCAACAGCAAGTGCCAGATCGCAGTGGGCACTACCAGACCTCAACCGCAAGTGCCAGATCCCAGTGGGCACTACCGGATCTCAACAGCAAGTGCCGCACTACTGGACTTCAACAGCAAGCCCCAGATCACAGTCACAGTCACAAACACACAATCACAAGCACACAGTCACAAACACTACGACAAACATAACCACAAACACACCATCACAAACACAATCACAAACACAACCACACAACCACAAACATAGCCACAAACACACAACCACAAGCACGCAACCACAAACACGCAACCACAAACACACAATCACAAGCACGCAACCACAAACACAGCCCCAAACACAAGCACAAACACACAATCACAAACACACAAGCACAAACACACAACCACAAACACACAGGCACAAACACACAACAACAAACACACAACAACAATCACAAACACACAACCACAAACACAATCACAACCTCACACACAAACACAAGCACAAACAACCACCACCGCAAGCAAAATCGAAACCTTCAAAACCCGTGATCATGGCAACATGCCACGCTTTGACATGCACGACTCACAACCATCCTTTGGAAGTTCAACCAGGTTTGTGGGCTGATGGTCTCTCTCTCTCTCTCTCTCTGTGTTGTGGCCTGCTCCAGGCATCTTTGTTTTCGAATGCAGGGTCACATTGGATAGTTGAGAATCCGACTATGGCTCTCTCATCTTTGCTATCCTTCACCACTTCCATAGCTTCGTCAGTTGCCTCAAGCGACGCATGTGCAAGATCTCCGATCCTTTCACAACATCTGTTCTCTCTGGGCAGGTTGCAACGTAGGCCCGCGAACCAGCAATGTTGAGTTTGTTCTCCTTGATAGGCCCTTCTTGCCTCAGCCAGCTGTAAGTTCAATCCTCTCAGCTCCTCTATTCAAGGACCGACACAAATGCCCCTCGCCAGGCACGGAAAATGGCGCAAGTGTCGCATCTTTTTTCCGCTTGCTCCAGAAATCTGAGCAAAGAAGTGGGGCGGTCAACTCCTTCACAAGGCATAGTTCGTCGTGGTTGTCCAGGAGGTCCGAAGGCATCCTCGTCGGCCTGCCCAGCCAAAGAGTCCTGAAGAATAGGCACTTGGCTTTGATCAAATCGATGAACTGCGATTATCTCAGCGCAAACAAGTCATTGATGCACCTGATGACTCGAGCTCTCTGAGGCAGTTTTTCCATCAAGGACCTGCAAAACTATGGCAGTACATGTTACTGTCAGTGTCAATAGTTTTGGAGCAGGCCTTCATGATGTTCGCGGTTTCTTCGCAGAAGTCAGAGATTGCAGGCAATTACCAAGCCTGAGAGTGCTCCCAAAGAACCGGCTTTTACACTCCAATCAGCCCGCTTTCCCATTGCTGCTGCCAGTGATGCCACGACTGATTGTGCTATGCACTCCAAGCAACTTGGTAATGGCATCCTAGGGGGCAGTGGAGCATCGTGAAACATTGAACAAAGGTGGAAAACGTGTTACATTCTATATTTGATATATGACATATGATACAGTTCAGGATTAATACTTAACCAAGCATATTGTTTTCATCTCATTACGAACGTCAAAGCCCAAAGACTCCTGTGTGTTGCACTCTTGGGCTTTGATGCTGTCAGAATTAAGAGTTGCATGAGTTTATCAAGGTGTCACGATAACATTGTCCATGCAACATTTGCCTTTATTGCAATCTTCTTCCAGTAGCTATGCAAGGCTATGTAATGGTGTCGCTAGACAATATATTTATGTTTGTACTTACTACAAAACCATTCTTTAATTCTAGGATTCTGTCCACTCATTTTGGTTGCCATGCTTCAGTGATGTTCTCCTTCGTGGCAGCATAGGAAAGTCGCAGGCACTTTGTATCGCCGAAAGCAATGCCAGGAACCAATGCAACTTGATACCTCTGCCGAAGAAATATCGGATCGGATCGGACAAAGTTCGCCAAATGTTCCAACCTCATCGTTCGCAGGTGTCATTTGTGGGTTCAACAGTTTATCATAAGAGGTGGCGCTTCTGTAGCAAGTAGAGGCAAAGCTGGACACCATCCTGCACAAGGCTTGGCTACAAATTGGTCTGAACTGTCAGGGTTGAAACATGTGAAATGTCAAATCCAGGTATAACAAGATTTGCATACTGCCCCTTGCTACACATAACACATACATCAGATTGGCCGTGTCTGCTTGTGTAACCCTTGGAGACAAGGGAAGGTCTTATGCTTCAGGCTTTCATCACGCCAAGCTTTGTTTTTGTTTGAGTGTTTGGTATGGAGCAAAGAACAGTCGGACAACCTCTTGAAGTGTTAGACGTAGTTGGTTGAGGTACTGCATTCACAGCTGATATGATCTTGTGTACCTTTGACGCGTGAACCTGTTCAAAGTGCGACCATGTTTTAAGATTTAATTTGTGGGCATTGCCAGTGTTGCATGTGACTGCAAGTAATCAAGTGGTGTTGGCTGTGTCAATCCACCTCCCGCTGTGAGCGCACAACTCACCTTGTGTGCTTGTGGAAGAAACCGATGCGTGAACTTCGATATGCTGTCTTCGTCCTCTATAGTTTCATCCTCAGGCGTTCTCCTTCCCAAATAGGCAGATATGTCCGGGAACCTGGCTGACCATGTCCTTTTGCTTTGCAGTTGTCTGCTAGGCTAGACAGAATATTAAGGCTCACACAAATAAAATGCACCGCAGGGCTTCGGGCAGTTCACATCCTTTGCTGAAACACGCGCAAACACACTCACACTCACACATATCATTGTCACCAAACCTGTTCTCAACTTGTTCATTCAAGCATCTGGTATCTTGGCAAGGAGGTTGAGGGCAAGGTCGCGCTTCTCTTGTAGTTCTCTGACCTTCGCGTCGATATAGCCTCAGCAAAGCAACAACTTCCACTGGGCTATACTCGGCTGAGCTTTGCACCATAATAATGAAAAAGGAGCCTCACAACATGAGCCCCACATCTGAAAACACCACAATATCTTTAGCTCATGGTTTTTTGACATTCGCTTTGCTCTGAAAAAGTGACTTGCGTTTAATATCACGTTGTTCCAGCGAGGGGTAAAATATAAATTCACTACTTCATCCTTGGCTAGTTACAAGCTTCAGCAACCAAACCTATGTGGTAGCTTTGTTAAGCTTCATCAATCTGATCTAGACTGATCTATGCAACTTGAATCAACTACCATTGTCTTTCTCTACAAGCGCATGGATCTCCATGTCTCTCCTTGGACCAGATCTTGGACGCTGCCGGTACACCGTACTTTTTCTCCAAGTTGATCTACCTGTTGCAAGCTAATTAGAATATATATACATATAACCCCCCTTGTGACCCACTACGTCACTACCCATCAAACACATGCTGAGACACTCATATCGCAATTGAGCGCAGCAATGCCAGCATGCTGACCAATGCTTGAAGCACAAGAAGTTATCCTTGGCATGCACTAAGAACCAATCCTTTACTTTTGTGGGATTTGACTGTCAGCCACTTTTCAAAAGGAACCTTGACATAGCCAAAACTCTGTGATTGCAACTTTGAAGCTGCTTTTACAATTTCTTTCGGAGCAGCAAGGTACCCCAGGCGGTAGCCTGCAGCGTGCAACCGGACAAAAACAATGAGTGCTGGGGCCAAGTTTGCGAGTTACAAGAAGCTACTAGGAACAAAGGGCATTGCTACTAGGAGCAAGAAGCTACTAGTAGCTCCTGGCCATACTACTAGTGACAAGAAGCTACTAGTGGCAAGTGAGTTACATGGATACTCTGACCGCAAAGCCTGTCATCGAGAACGCTTTCGAGAATCCATTTATGGTCAGTGTGCGATTCCACATGTCCTGACATGGCAAAATGACAACTCTGTTTTGCATTGTTTTGCACTTTTATCTGTGCTCAACAAGCACTGGATTGATCCACAGCAAACCTACCGCCAAGTATGCTGGAACAAGCAGGTCCTTAAGAACAGCAAAGGAAGCATGTTCCAAACCATCATAACCTCATGACGCTTACCGAGCGTATCATTATCGCCAGGCAGAGATGAGAGACACAAGAATCATTCCTAAGTTGCTACGCCCCTGAGCTTGACACAAATACGTTCGTAGATTTCATCTGAAAGAACCTTGATAGCACTCGATCAAATGGCATATTGGTGCGTGGAAAGAAGAAGAATAGAAAGCAAGCTAACTATGGAAACAAAGCACAGAAAGTCAAAACACACATGCTTTTACATGGGCTACACTGCATCTCGGTTGTGCGCTTTTTGCCTGGTCTGCGGCTCAAGTAGCAAGGACGTGTTGATTCTCTGGGCGCCGTAGCACACCAGCGATCGCGTCAAGCTGATCTGGTGACATAGCACAGCCTTGCAGGGCTTTGCTACTTCCAAGCCGCTACTGAAAGAACTGGTCCGGTTGAGGCGAAACCAGAACCATTGAGGCACATAAAGTTTAAAGGCGAACTCTCCAGACTAAACCTTGTACAAAGCGACATACATTTGCCAAGGTATCAGCCAGTTCAACTCACCTTTTACATCACATTGGCATATTCACACTGACACCCTTTGCCTGTTGGATTTGAAGGATTACACACCTCACAAGCTAGCACAGGAGGAACCATGTGACAATGGAGGTCAGAAAATCATCTGCTCGGATTGTTTGGATCTAACTTCCAAAGAGACGCATTCAGTGAGATGCGCCATCTGCAACAAGGACGCTACTAGGGGCAAAGGGCATCGCTACTAGGAGCAAGGACGCTACTAGGGGCAGTTTCTTCAACTCATCGAACCCAAATGTTGCGCTGAGGTTCAATAAGCATCCGGGTCCTCGGAGTAATCGCTGTGGCCAGCTTTGCTGCATCAATCGCATAGCCTTGCGATGCAATTGTCTCCAATATCACCGGAGTGGCCCCAGACAGCTTTACAATGTCCTGGGCGTTGAAAAGAAATATGTCCTTTGCACGTGTTGTCCCCTTTTGCATTGTTGCTTGCGACTGTTGTTGATTTCAATTCTAGGATGTGGGTCAAGTGCGATCTGCAGCAAGCCACCGGGTATGATGTCCAGTACGGCGCGGGCACAATCACCTCATCCCCTTCCTGGCATAGGGCCATCATTGATTGGTAGATCGCTTGCTTGCCTCACAGGTATCTCCATATCGGTCCATCGGTCATAAACGAATCAAATCAAATGTCTCTATATTTTCTGTCCCCGTCCGAATCTTTGCCTCCGCAAGCCACCAATATTTCATCCGTGCTGTACTTGACCTCAGCACTCGTGCTGCAAAACACGTTGTCCGATCCTCAAGCTCTTTGTATTCGTTTTTTGAAGCCTGCTCCCCTCCTAGTAGCGATGGCCTCCAACCTAGTAGCGAATTGAAGCACATGAAGAATCTACAAGATTCTCTGCCTTCTTATACTTCTCCAGGTATTCGGAGATCGCCTTGACAGGACTTGCTCACAGCCCAGCAGCTGAAGCAACGTCTTATGTTCAAGCACAAGACCATATATATACAGTATGTACAGTATATATATATATTATATATATCCTATCCGAGGCCATCGTCTGACATGTAGGAGCCATCAGGGTAAAGCCATCTGAATAGGCTCAAATCATCTCAAATCTAAAAGCGCTATCGCGCCTGCCGAAGCTCCAAGGTTCCTGGCGTGCTCAAAACTTCATTCATTTTGAACGACAAGCAACGCCTGAAACACAATGTCCTGACACTGCTGTGTAGGCTGTGAGGCCCTGCACAGCGGCTTCTTGGGTGGCTTTGATCGCTTCTGGTGGTGGCGCAAAGTCGGGCTGGCCAACCTCATTCTATTTTTGGCAGACGCTACAAGGAGCAAAGGGCATCGCTACTAGGAGCAAGGACGCTACTTTGGGCTCCTGGCCGTACTACTAGGAACAAGAACGCTACTAGGAGCAGTTTCTTCCACTCATCGTTATATAAATATACTTTGATTATCTCTTTGGTCTAAGGAACGCAAAGAGCTCCGTTCACTTTCTCACCACGGCTCTTCATGTTTGACACCTTGGTGGCAGAAGAACCGTCTCCCCAAGGTATCTGCTCAAATACTTCGTATCGTGCCTTGCTAAAGATTGCAACAGTGTAGGACCTGGAAAGGAGATGAAGCCATTTCCACAGATACATTCAGCATTGATTCAGCATGAGGGCAAGACTCGTCCATTTTGCTGATCATTGGGTTCAGCTTCAACTCCGCCATGGGAAACAAAAGCCCCTCCGCTCAGCGGCTACAAGCCTCCCCGGGGTTCCTATGGGTTCCTTTCAGATCCTTTCAGCCAATGCTGCATTAGCTCGGGCATCGCTACTAGTAGCAAAGGGCATCGCTACTAGACACAAGGGCATCGCTACTAGTAGCTCCTGGCCTTACTACTAGTAACACGAAGCAATGAAGCAACTAGTAACAAAGGGCATTGCTACTAGGAACAAGTGCATCGCCACTAGTAGCAAGATTGAGTGGAGCTTTCTGAGCTGCGCTGACTGTGGCCTGCAATAGGATGCAACAGGTCATAGAAATTCCATTCCAAGTTGCTCTTCAGTTGCATCCAGCTTGCTGACCTGAAGAAGTGTCAAGCAAACAGGCAATGGGGTATATAGATCCATTTCTTCTGCAAGCTGGCTGTTTTCACACTTTCTCAAGCCTCTCTCTAAGCCTCACACCATGAACATGTGTGCCTGTGCCACCAAGGCCAATGACTCCACCTGTTTCCAGTGAATGTGTCTTTTCACTAGGGTCACCGCTATTCGACACTCAGCCATTGAGCCGCGACTTGGCCACACGACAAACAGTGGCTTTGCCTGACCAAAGACATCTTGCGCCTCGTACGAAATGGCTCAACAAGTAGGAGCTAAGTATATAGTGGTGCACCACTTCCAACTGACTGTTTGAGCAATGTTGGGCCTGCCTTCTTGTAGATATTCTTAGCAGCTTCGGCAGCCCGGGCAGCTTCCTGACAGTCTGCATGTGCATAACAAACCTGTTGGAGAAACGGCTGAAGCTTTCATGTGTCTTGGGCCTTCGGCTCTTCTCTGCCTCAGCACTGAAAATGCAAGGACTGTATACGTTGGTCTGGCTAGCTGCTACTTGAGCTTTGGGTCAAACGAATCCAGTTAGGAGTTTTTGTCGACACAGGCATATTTCTGGACCCGACCAATCGATTGGTTGCTTGCATAGGGGCTATTTTGCTGTGAACATGCTTTGCTACAACTCTCTGCTGTTGACAAGGCTTTCAGATTTCAACAAACAGCAAAACAAGAAGCTACTAGGAACAAAGGGCATTGCTACTAGGAGCAAGGACGCTACTAGTAGCTCCTGGCCTTACTACTAGTTACTAGTAGCAAGAAGCTACTAAGAACAAAGAGAATCGCTACTAGGAGCAAGGACGCTACTAGGGGCTCCTGGCCTTACTACTACTGTAGGAGCAAGAAGCTCCTAGAAACAAAGGGCATCAACTATCGAAAGGTCATTTTGTGTGTGTGACCCTCATGGCCATTGTTTGGACGGCTGCTCCCCTTTCAATCCCATGTTTGTCCTTCTTCTATGGTGCAAATTGGTGCAAATGCGTCAATAAAACACTTCTGAACATGTGAAGAATCGCTTCTTGACGGTGTGGATCCGCAAGCCTGAAGTTCTCGCAAAATCTAACGGCACACATTCTCTCTTCCGCCGACTGCCCCATCCACATGGACCCAACAGCTCAGGGACAGCTGAGTCCATGGGAAAACTAAGCAAGGCACCTATTCGCCAACTCTCCAAAATACAAGTGGTCAATTCTCATTACCCCTTTCTGGTCAATTCTTGACCGCAATGAGGGCAACAAAGTGCGCCTGCTAACCCTTCACATCATGTGAAGCTCTATGTAGTGGGAACAGCTGAATGGAAAGAACTGGATCTGCACAAACACGAGAGAGACTCTTGAATTGGCAGTCTTTCGTGTTTTCACCCAGAAACTGCGGCTTGAGTCCCAGCTCTGCTGGTGTCTCCCGCGGCTTAAGCACCCTACATGAAGCGCAACTGGTCACTTCACAGTATACGGACAAGCTGTACTGCAGGCGCGGCTACACAGCTAGAATTCAGGATAATCTTGGGGCTTGTTCATCAACATGCATCTACAACTCTGCTTTTAATCGCTTTTAACTCTCGCGCTTGCCACATCTCTTCAATATGCAGCATGCTTAAGCAGCAGTGTGTCTATCAGAATGGTCCAAAGAATAACCAAGCAATGAATTGGATCACTTGAGCTTTCAACCAACTTGACAAGTTGCCGATCATTAAAAAGCACTTATATATCAAAGCTGATCAACATCTTTATACACTGACAGTATATGAATGTCAAATCATTCGTTATTGTTCTTTGAAACTCTGGGCGGAACGAAGGCTCCGCTCTGGAGGTGACCATCTCTGACTCACAGGCTGCACAATCTTTGCACTCGCTGCATTGCTCGAAACAATGAGAGCTTCCCAGGTCAAAGTGGCGGTGCTTCCAAGAGCTTGCCAGGTCATATCCACTGCACCCCTGCGGAGACTGGCCACCCTTGATCCACCGCACCCCAAGTGCTCACACCACTCAGATGTTGAATGGTGTCCAGTGGAGATTGCGGCCATCTCGACCTTTGCATTCAGTCATTTGTTACGACACTGTTCATTCGTGCCCCGTCTTCGAGGCAGGCACGGCATTTTGCAAGCATATCGTCCACCTAGCTCAAGAAAGCCACTTGCAAGCTGTAATTAGCATTTTCGGCCCAAACTTCCATGTTACCTGCGTTGGGTTGCTTGCAGCAGCCACAAAGCCGAAGAAAGCAGGCGACGGCCTTGGAATCTGCGCATGCGTATTTCAGGGCTTGACAAAAATTGCAGTCCCAGTGTGTGAGCTCTGCACTGGCCAGGACGAGACTTGTACTCAGGGTGGTATTGCACACCCATAAAGAAAGGATGGTCCTGCATGCGTAACGACACTCTGCCTTTTGATGTCCTTTCATGTATTTGCATTTTTAAGTCTCCAGTCCCCAATTAAATCAACCTTGGGCATCTTTCGCACAACCCCTGATGTGGTTGGCAAAGCTCGAGCATGCGTCCTTTGTCGACATCTCTATGATATCCATGCGCTCCTGTCGCTCGAGAACAGACTGCCAAGACAAGTGGATAAGCAACACACGCTAAAGTTTCCCTAAACATCTAGGAACCAAATCATCAGTGCGAGCTTCCTTGAAGAAGCGTGAGCTATCCTGCATCCTAAGTAGTAGATACTTGTAGGTACTAGCTACCTAGCTACTACTAGCTACCTACCTCTAGCCACTACATACTTCCTAGCGGCCCAGTCAATTTGTCCAACATGCATGGGCCGCACAGCCCATCTCCTTGGTCTCGTCTTGACCCGAGAAGATCAAACCCTTGCTTTCCATGCGCTCTTTGTAGGCAATGTTGAATTCATAGCCTGAGTCAAGAGACTCTAAAAAGATCTAAAAAGCACATAAAAGCACGGGGTCAAACTGGATCTCAAGAAAATCAAAGGGGTACAGCTTGCAATGTTGCCACCAGTTTGCGATGTCGATGCCGTTCCATGATGCGGCTCTCACCTCCTTGGCAAGGGTTTCAGCATCTCACCTCCTTGTGAACTTTGGACTCGACTCACTTGCGCAAGTCAGTCAGTGGACTGAAGTAAAAACAAATCACTAAGGCATTAAAGATGCGACATCAACCCTCACCTCTGATGCAATGCAGCTGTGCCTGGTCACGGGAAAGTTGTACAAACTTGATGCTACCAGGTATCCATAGAGTGATGCTGCCAAGGATTGTTCTGGCTTTGTAAATTCCACCCAGCGAGCACCAAGTCTCATGTTCGCACCCATTGTATCCTGCAACATCTGATCCCATCAAACAGGACATGTTCCCACCAAGTGCGGTGTCCTTGGAGATCTCTGGCATGAAAATGATCACATGATTCTTCGACCTGCGCATTGAAACTTGGAGTAGGCAAAAACCAATGTGATAGAGACCATATTCTTCGACAGTAGGCCTGTATAAACCTGTATACACCCAGCTAGGTGAACGTCCAGAGCCTAGATGTTTGCATTCGTATATCAACCCTTTACATACCCAGCAGTGAGGTCCTGACTGTTTCTCTTTGTCAAACTCCTCACTGGTAGCATCAGGAAGGCCCAGGAGATCTCTGGCAAAATTGATCAGAGCGACCTGAACATCCAAGTATACAGCACGTTGACTTTTAGTCCTTGAACAATGTCTTTGGTGTTCAGTGCGCACAATTGATGAATCAATTTGGACATCATTTGAGCGTTTTCCCAGTGCGCAAAAGAGCAGTTTGCATGCACAGCCTGCATACCGAGACAAACTCCCAAATAGGGTTTCTTCCATTCACGCCTCAGAAAGGAGCCAAACAAATGCCAGAAGTTCTCAAAAAGGCCTGTGCACTCTCACTCTCAGCAAATGACGCGAGACCAGCAGCGCAGGCTTTTCCTTCAACACCTTTTCACATGTTGTAATATGTTTTATATAATAACTTGAGTTGAAAAAAAACCCGTTCCAAAATCATTATCCTAGGTTGAAATCACAGCAATTCCAAGCGGTGGCCATCATGTACCCAACATGCGCTCATGTATATGGTTGTATGTTGTGTATGCCCTCTTAACAGCTGCGTTCTTACTTACAGAGTCCAATGGTTCCAAATGTGAAGCTGAAAGTAGCCATCCTCTTGTACACAGAAACAAACTGCCAAGACTATACACCCTGGAAAGCACTTGGACAAGTGGTCAAAGTTGCAAAGGGGTCCAGCGCGGATCTAGCGCGGGTCTAGCGCGGATCTAGCGCGCTTCCCTGCCAGTGCATGAGGCCACCAAACGTCTGTGATCAAGAACTCGCTTTCTCGTCTCTCAAACAGTTACTCCCTTTCAAACAGTTGCTGCCTTTTTCAGCGCGCGCTGCCTTTCAAACAGTTGCTGCTCTTGTGCCTGTGCGGGTGTGTGTGCGTGTGTATGTGCACCAGTGAGTGACCGTTACAATCAGCTCTTGTTTGTTAATCTTTTCTAAGTTACCTAAGTACTTGATCCTAGCGCCAAACCTAGCGCGAACCTAGCGTAACCCTGCGTTTTGCTAGCGCGACGAGGTAACATACCCACTTTAAACACCAGAATACCAAGCGGTGGCCAAGCGATTTCTGAACCTCTGGGAACATTACTTACTTAATA